ACGTTGCTTGAATTTGCTACTACACACGATATGGTGGTCACTAACTCCTTCTTTAACAAGAGAGATATGAACTTGATTACGTTTCAAAGCAGGGGACATTGTACCCAAATCGACTATATCCTGGCTCAAAATCGGGATCGATGGGCTTGCATTGACTATAAGGTGTTCCCTGAAGAGGCATGTGCATCACAACACAGATTGTTGGTTTTGGTGTTCCACGTACGCCACAGGCAGAGCACTCATAGGAGGGTAAACTTGGTAAACATAGGATCCTTTGGAAGAACTTACATAGAGCGACAGCTGATGACTTTAGGAGTAAGGTTTAATCTCATACAGGTTTTGTCTCATACAGGTTTTGGAACTACAAACTCAAATAATGCAGATACATTATGGAAAAATATGGCAAATTCCATAAGGGAAGTGGGCAAAAACACCCTTGGGTTGTCGATAGGGAAGGTCAAAGAACATAAAGAATCGTGGTGGTGGAATGATGAAGTTCAAACTAAGGTGAATACAAAGCAAACTTGCTTCAAGGAGTTTCTATAATGCAATGACGACGAAGAAAGATCGAGAGCTAAATAAAGGTACAAGGAGGCAAAGCGGGAAGCCAAGAAAACAATGGCTAAAGCAAAGGATAAGGTATACGAGGAAATGTACAACAGATTAGACACCAAGGAAGGACAAAATGACATCTTCAGGCTTGCAAAATCCAGTGAGAATAAGAAAAAGGATCTAGGTAGCATTAGGTTTATTAAGAACATCAATGGTGTTCTTTCAATGAAAGATCATGATATTAAAAGGGTTTGGGGTAGTTACTTCTTTGGCTTATTTAATGACGGTGTCTCTCCCTGTAGAGATAGTACCGTTGATGGGTCAGCCAACCATCATACTACGGCCAATGACTGCCCTACAAGTAGGATTGGGATTGAGGAAGTCAAAATGGCTCTTAGAAAGATGGGGAGGGACAAAGCTGTCGGTCCAGATCAAATTCCTATCACTGTGTGGTTGGCCCTAGGAGAAGAGGGAGTTAAGTGGTTGACCAATATCTTTAATATTAATTTAGAGACTGCCAAGATGCCAGAGGAGTGTATACAATCTATGGTGATACCAATCTATAAGAATAAAGGAGATCCTCAACGTTGTGTTAACTACAGAGGTATTAAACTACTCAGTCCTACCATGAAGCTATGGGAAAGGGTGATAGAGGCTAGGTTGAGACATGTTACTAGGGTTTTGAAAAACCAATTTGGCTTTATGCCAGGCAGGTCTACTATAGAGGTGATTCATCTGCTCCGACGGCTTATGGAGAAATATAGGGGAACAATAGAGATCTCCACATGGCGTTCATCGACCTTGAGAAGGCGTATGATAGTGTTCCACGTGATACAATCTGGAAGACCTTGGAAACAAGATGGATCCCAACTGCTTATAACCGGGCGATCCGTGATATGTACTGTAAATCTACTACATACGTTAGGACTACAATTGGCGACACCGAGGCATTCCCGATGGAAATCGGACTCCACCAGGGGTCATCTCTTAGCCCTTACATCTTTGCCTTGATTATGGATGACATCTATTATGCGACACCAGAAGGTATTCCATGGTGTATGCTTTTCGCGGACGACATTGTCCTAGTTGCTGAAACAAAAACTAAGTTAAATAGTAGACTGCCTACCTGGAAGACTGCTTTAGAAGAAAAAGGTTTACGGATCAATATTGAAAAGACAGAGTATTTATGTTCAAACTTCAGTGGGAACCAAAACGATGAAGATGTAGAAGTATGCATAGAAGGACACGTTTTCCCCTCAAAGGATTGTTTCAAGTACCTATGGTCTATGATACATAAAGATGGGGGTGTAGATGATGACGTTACACACCGTATAAAGGCGGGATGGCTAAAGTGGAGGGCTGCTACTGGAGTTTTGTGTGACAAGAAGGTGCCTCTAAAACTTAAGGGAAAATTTTATAGAATGGCAATAAGACCAGCGCTGCTGCTGCTGTATGGATCAGAATATTGGGCAATCAAGAAGGATCACGTAAGGAGGATGGAGGCCGTAGAAATGAGAATGCTTCGATCGGCATGTGGTAAGACTCTGTGGGACATGACACCAAACTCTGTAATTAGGATGTCTTTGGGGGTGGTGCCTGTATCCGAAAAATTGAGGGAGGGAAGACTACGGTGGTTTGGGCATGTCCTTAGGTGACAACCGCCGGATACGGTCAGGAGGGTAGAGTCGATTATAGTCGACGGTGCCAGAAGGAGAGGACAACCAAGGAGGAAGTGGGTAGACTGCTTGAGATCTGATTTGAAGGATTTAGCCCTTACCGAGGACATGACCTCTGATAGGAAAGTATGGAGACTTAAGACCAGGGTAGCCGAGTAGTGTGGGTCACAGCCATAGGGTGTAGCATCTCTATTTTCTTTTTAATGACTTTGTAGTAATTTCCATGACTTCTACTTTTTATACGTTTCTGTCATTGGAATTTATGAAGGCTTAGAACTAGGGTAGCGTAGTAGGGTTGCCTTAGTTTAGGTTTTAACCCATTTGACTATATCACTTCTCGTAGCTTGCTATCGCTGACTTCTGTGTATCATTCTCTTCATGTTTCCTCTTTTTAAATTTAGTTGGGTCTTACGTTTCTGTCTATATGTAGAGATTTTTACACAGGGATTTATTTACAGGGATTACTTCCCATTCAGACGCGCATATGAAGACTGTTCAACTATGTATTTATTTATACATGCATTGTATTTTATCTTTATTTTTAATTTTCTGACTGCCGGAGGTCTTCCACGGAAGCTGCTCTCAACCTGGCGTTGGGGGCAGCCTACTACCCTACCTCTCCTTACCCCATTGCATATGGGAATAGGGTTTTATTGTTGTTGTTGTTACAAGAATGGCATTTAATTTATTATTAATTTAGAAAATGAACCGAAGCCCAAATGACAGAAGATGAGGAGAGCAATTGTTGAATTTGATGGGAGTCGTTTGGAACCATTTTGGGTCATAAATGATGGGATCAGTGGGCGCCTCATCAATCAAGCAATGGACTATCGGCTAACGAACAAATTAAAAGTCTGTTGCCTTATCAGTTACCAGTCCAAAATGAATAAATTCATTTATTGAAGGGGGTTTGGTATTTAGTAGCTCAATTTTACCTGAGTTTCTGTTGGGAAACATTGAAACCTTTAAGAACAAATTGAAATTAATCAACCCAAAGCTCAGGGGAAATTGAAAGAGAAAAGGAAAGCATCTCTATAACAAAATCCCATGAAACATAAGCTGTTGAAATCATTGTTTTGAAAACTGGACCGGACCGATCGGTTCAACCGGGAACCACTGTCTAGTCCGATTCAATCTACACCAGTTGAACCGCTATTAGTGAACCGGGCAGAACCGCTGAACCGTTCAAACCGGACCGACTGAAAACCAGAAAAAAACCGGGAAAACCTAGAAAAAACCGGAAAAACCGCCAATATTTTAAAAAAAAAAATTAAACCAAACAACGTCGTTTGTTAAACGAGCCAAGTCGAACTCGAGAATTGCTGAGCTCGACTTGAACTTGAAAACTTTAAAAGTAAGCTCAACTCGACTCAAAATCACGAGCTAAAAATTATCAAGTTCAACTCGAATTCGAAATATAATATTGAAACTTGAACTCGAAAAAGCTTGAACTCAAAACAAATTTAGAAGCTCGATTAAAGCCTAAAATTCGAGCTTAATTGAAGTGAAAGAATAATTCACTCAATGCTCACCAAAAGGCTCCATGATTTTGAATACCAAATTACATCTATTATTTATAGAAGTTAGTTGAGATGCTCTTCTATGTTTCTTAGCCATGTGGGATTGTTTTGTTCTCATATTTTTACTCTTTAGACTTTTGGGATACTCTTCTATTTTTCTTAGCCATGTGGGATTGTTTTAAAAAAAAAATTAAATCAAACAATATTATTTTGTTATGATTTTTTAGCCCCAAATTTATTTTTTAATTATAGTTATATAATTATATTTATTATTTAATATGTTTTACCTTAATTATTATGTTGTAGTTAATTTGAATTATTTTGTTTCACTTGATTTTATAGTTTTTAACTTATATATGTTATGACTTGCTTTGAATATGACTTGTGATATAAAAAATTATTTTTTATTAAATATTTTTGGTATTTTTATTAAATTTTTTAAATAATTATGACGTCGTCCGGTTCTTCCGACTGGTCGAACCGATTCGATCGGTTGAATCAGTGAACCGATAGCATAGCCGGTTCGCTAACCAGTCCGATTCTGAAAACCATGGTTGAAATTCTACACGAGAACAGCACACATATAATTTGAAATGAAATGTGGAAAGCTGTGTATCACATTAAAGTAAACATAAACAAAAAATTATGTAGTGATCATCAGGCCTTGCGCTTGTTTGATCTTCTTTTCTTGACGGCATCTGGTTTGCCAAAAGCCCCACAAAAACCGCAACCGGATACCTTTGGAGAAGGAGGATCCACGCTTGGAGTAGCCGCCTTGGTCGTGCGGTAGGCATGTCTGCCGCTGCCTTCGTCTGATCGGCTTCGTCTCCCTCGGCTGCTTTCTTTATTTTCTGTCATTTGGTTCAAATCCCCCGACACGGCCTTGTTGTCCCATACCAAACCCGACGACCCTTGCCTCCTAAACGACGTCGTAGACCTTTGCAAACCCTCCATCTGTTCTTCAAAAGTCTTTTTTCCTTCTTCTCTGGTTTATGCTCTGGAATTCTGTGGCGGTTGGTTATAGGTTTTTATTGATACAAGGTGAAGGGACGCTGAGTCCAGAGGTACGTGATGAAGTGCGACTTTTTCAATGTGAGGGAGAGAGAGAGAATGACAAGTAAGGACTTGAATGCTTAAAAAAGAAGTGGATTTTTTGGTCTGCTATTTGAAACACCGAATAGCTGACGAATTCAAAATAATAAAATAAATACATTTCAAAACATTTACCAGAACTCTTCTGTCAGTTTGTGTTTTCGTGTAATACATAAATTTATTAAATGCCTGAATAATTGAATTCAATTAAATATAATAGCATCAAGGCTAGGTCCAAAATGGTATCATATTTTATATTACATCACACTTCCGCTACCTATAGACCAAAGACGATACATAAAATATTTGAAAGTTTTAATTATTGTAAATACAATAATAGAATTAAAAAAGGTGATAAGTTTTGACCATTTAAAGTCAAGTTTATTCTCGGGTCACAGAAAATATGACATACAAAAGCTAATTCAAATCTTCGATTATTTAAGAAAAAAATCATCAATAATTAATCTATTAGTTCATTAATTTTTTTTTCTCAGTCGAGATGATCGGAAATGAAACATAAAATTAGTTTGTTTGTCTCTCTTGCTCTGCAGTAAACAAAATTGTGATTGTACTGGAACCCCATTAATAAATTCATTTTGCCTTCCCTTTCTTGAAAGACCCTGCTCCTCCCTTCTTTCCAGTCTTCTTATGAAGTTGCTTTTTTTGGTTTCAACTTGTTTGTGGTTGATGAGGACCTCCCTTCTTGATTCCTTTTACTCCTAGCTTTCTTCCCGTTATACATCGTAACCGCCTGATCTAAAAAATAACATAAATTAAAATAAAAGCCATTCTCAGGTTAAAAATGCATTTCCATTTTGGAATATCAACTGATGAACCTAAGTTGGCCAAATCATATGGCTCAAGCATACCTTGTCAACACCGAGTATCTCGTGCGAATGCTTAGAGATTAGCTTATTTCGAACACTCTCAGTTTGTCCCTTCTCTCGCGAGCCTATCCCTGATCCTTCGACAACAGGTAAGGACTAACAAAAGTACAAAATGACCATATTACAGCATGCCATCACAATTCATCAGAGATATTTACACTATAGTAAAGGCCGAGGATTCAAATCTTGCGATGCTTTCCTTGCTTTTTAGAAGGCTTTTCTTCAGGCAACTTCCTTTCAAATTTCCCCCCACTAGCCGTAGAAGTAGCGGCCATCCCAGCTACATTCCCTAATTCATCTTTCTGGGGCCTGTGTTCCTGTTATGGGAAGAGATGTAGCAGCAAGCTGAACATGGCTGCAGCAAACCACTTTAAGTTGAAAATAAACAAAAGCATTAAAAATAGCCAAACTCTAGCATCCGAAAAAAGATAAAAGTATCCTCTAAAAAGTAACAAGAATCAGATGAGAAGTTATTACATGAAACTCAACCAAAGAGCTAGAGTTTGTTCAATGCAAGCTAAAGCAACCGCTAGAGTTTTCTCATCAAGAACTAGAATCAAATGATATATTTCCTTTTACAGAACAGAAAAATAATTACAACAATTTATTTCTTTTTACAAAACAAAATCATATAAGATTCTTTAGAAAATTATTTTAACGATTTATTTTCTTTTGTAAACTAGAATCATATAAGATTCTTCGGAAAATAAATTCAATGATTTATTTTCTTTTACTAAATAGGAAAAATAAATCTGATGATTTATTTCATTTTACAAAATAGAAAAATAAACAGAACGATTTATTTACTTTTACAAACCATAATCATATAAGATTCTTAGGAAAATAAGTTCAACGATTTTTTCCTTATGAAGTTAGAATCAACACAAGATTCTACGATGAAATAAATCATTGGATTTATTTCTCTCTCCTTTTTTTAAGTATATATATTATGTTAAACGACTTGATTAGTATCACTAAAACCTGAGACAGATATATCACCGCAACCTAATTCTATTTTAACAAACAAAAATCAAAAGGAATTAATCCTTTAATTTTAGCAACCCGATAATTAAAAAGAACTAATTCTTTGAGTTTAATTTTTACAATCAAATAATCGAAAGTAACTAACTCTTTGATTTTAATTTTCGTAACCCAATAATCGGAAGGAACTAATCATTTGATTTTACTTTCTGGCAACCCAATGATCAAAAGCTTTGGATTAAACCATGAATCCGTTTGTATCTACAAGATTTCTCAAAAGAAATTATTAGTGCGATAATAAAATTCATAATGTTTCCAAAACCCATTTAATAATTATTATAATATTTAATAATAATTATCAATACAAAATAAATTATTTATTCATGTCATATTTAATATTTCATATTAATAGGCTGAAAAATTAATATGGTAATAATACCATAACAATAATATCATGAATAATATCATGATTAATGCTTACATGTACTTTTATGTGACAAAACATACCATAATGATATTACCAAATAATACCATTACATAAAAAGAATCATATCAATTCTTTAACTACCCATTCTATATTACAGAATCAAAATTATGAAAATAAGTAACCAACTTTACTTTAATGACAATTTCTATTTAAATAGATTTGTCCACTTTGAGCAAACTCGTTAAAAAGACAGGATAAATCCTGAAAAAAATTAATTTACTTTTCACGATTTCCCCAAGATTTTTGAATTGTCTCAGATTAAAAAAAAAGATATAAAAAGAACTTTTCTTAAGATTATTACAAGTATAGCAATCTGAGACGAAAAGAAAATAAAAATAAAATATTTTATGAATAATCGAAAAATGATATAGAAATAAATACACATTTTTTTACGGAACAACCAATTAGAAACAAGTTGAGGTATACAACTAATCAGTTTCCTTAAGACAAGTTTTTTACCACTCCTATGGTGTTTGAGATCGTTGGTCGTCTGTCTCCCTGATGGTACTAGTTGTCCTCTGATCCACCTAAAGATTTTATGTAGAAAGATGGAAGGATACTTGAATAATGAAAGCCCATTTATGCATTACTTCCATGATAGTCTTACTGGGCCTACTATGGTGTGGTATAATCGATTAAACAGAGAGCAAATTAGGTCATGGGTCGATTGAGCAGAGAACTTTGGGAATCTTGTGAGAAGTGGGGAGCTAATAGAGGATGCAATCAGAAAAGGAAGCTTGGAAGTCACCTCCAAAGGTTCAGTTAACAAAAAAATAGGAAATAAGGACAAGATGAATAAATGTCATTTCCAGAACCCTCGTAGCCTAAAAGAAAAGAGTCAGCTAGTTACTCTAAAAGACCAAAGAAAGTTCCACAAGTAAGAAAGACTTTGGAGGTGTTCCAAACACCTATTTCATATTTGTTCCCTCATTTGATCAAGGGTAAATACTTGAATTCGAGATCGATGAAAGCAACACCAAACCCTTCTGCCCACAGATACGATCATGATAGTGTTTGCGATTTCCATTTGGGGACACTGGGGCATTCTTGTGGATTATTAATGAAAGATTTCAAAATACTTGTTAGCAATGGGGCATTAACTCAAGAATTGGTTAAACAATGGATGGCTAAACCAAATAGGGAATTAAAGAGCAAGATGTAGCATCCGATTGAATCAAGTGTCTCAATATTGAATGGATAACATGGGGCATCCTGGGATCAACATATGAGGCTATTGTTTAACAATTGTGGAGCTTTGTTGTACATCATGTTCTGTTTGAATTTGTTTTTCTTTCTTTGTTTGCTTGTTAGATGTTTTTAAATTTTAATGAAAGTTACTCTTTTTTAGACTAAAAGTAATAAAACAATTTCTTTTTGAAGTTCAATGAATATAATAAAATACCCTTATAGCTTTTGAGAGGAGGCAATGTTAAAACCCTTGTAAAACAATAACCATGATCATGCTCCAAAAAAATACACGTGACTATCATACCCTTATTTTGTAGGGACCAAAATAGCTTTCACCTCTCATGAAGAGACGAACAAAGAGCTTGCCATTCAGGTATGTATAGGAGTGGAAAAAATGGGGCATCTCTTGTGTATGACATTGAGAAACTGGATCATACTTTTATTGAGGACCTTCAACGATGACAATAATCTTCTCAGATGTAATGGTGGAATAGATAACTTAGTTTAGGTCGGTTGCTTGAGAATTTAACTCTAAGGATAAAACTTTCTGATTATCAATGACACCCAGAATATAATATGTTTTTCTCGATGAACTTAGGAAATTGAATCTGTATACTCAAGAAATTAATATAATTATTTATATATACAATAAAACTAAGCTATTTCTCCAAACAAATTGGTTGAAAGCACTAACTTTATGGATAGATTCCTTCAGCTACACAAATAAAGGCAAATAATACATATACACACACACACACAAAAAAAAATAAGATGAGCTATTCTTATAAAGCAATTGGTTGAAAGCCCTAGCTTTATAGATAGATTCCTTCATCTATCCAAACAAAGGTAAATTAAATTGAATTTAATTAAATAAAAAATATCGGTGAAATGGACTAAGGGAGTTGAGGAACACATGTTATAGTCAACTTCAAACATGCACTCAAGAATTTTGTCTTTAGACCGATATTTCTGCACTACCTATGCTGAAGGAGTCTATGAAACTTGAACAAATGGAAGATTTCAAAGAATCGAAATAAAAGTGCTCTAAAAGATCTAACAATTAAATATACTACTTGCGTCATTTTGTCCACATCCGGTTGGAATGTTAAGCTGACATAGAGGGGCATATCACAATGTTCACAAGGAATGAGAAAAGAATGACATCTTGATGATTGAAACCATAGAAAATAAGAAGTCAACCAAGAAGACCAACCCATCGATCTTGACACTTGTCAAAGGGCCATAATTTTTGAAAATAAATTTTTTGATTTACTTAATATTTATTAAAATGTTGATTTGTTTCAATTGTGAGACCGAAGCTAGAGGAGTTATTTAGTAAAATTATTTCATTCATATGAATTCTAAAAATAATATAAAAAAGAGAAAAAAAAATTCAAACAGGACAATCTCTCGAGAATTAATAAGGACCTTTGAAGTTGGTGAGGCTTACTTTGTTTCTAATAAAGAAGAAAGAAAACAAATAAAAGGCAAAACAAGAAGAATAAGTGATTTTGAAGCATTGAGGAAACCCTCTGGTCTTCAATTAAAGATCAGAAGACACGAGAATAAACCTCTCAGACTTCTTTGTGATGTTATAATCAACCAGAAAGCTGATGATCACCTTAATAAGAAGGGGCATGATATTTTGAGATTTTCTAATATCTTAGTTCATAGCAAAGTTTTAAGGAACCTCTGTTAGAAGTATTGATCATTTTTTGAGTGTCCGTTTGATTATGAGATCTCATGAAGAGAAATCCTCAAATTACCAAGCCAAAAGAGAAAAAGAATATTTAATGACAAGACCCAAGTTGAGTGATAAATGGAAAAAGAGTGAGGCCATTCGAAGTTGAAATTCATGTTGTTCAAATAAGGATGATCCATGAAAGTACCTACATTGGGGCATTACTAAATATCTATATCATGTTGTGATAACAAGATCTAACTTAAGATTACCTTGAGAGACAAACCATCCATGCTTTAGTCGGTAGGAGGGTTCTAAAAAGAAACACTAATTTAGTAATAAAGTTAGGGTAGAAAGGATGTCAAGACCATATTCCTGATCTTTACAAGGCTTCAAGCAAAGAAACATTTCTTCGGTTGTTTTTATGAAGAAGCAAGATAGAAGATAGAAATGATATGATTGCACATGATGATCAGATTGTCCTTCTGAAGGTGCAAGCTTGAACTAACAAGTTGCTACACTAATATTGGGTCAAGTTGTATTACAGGATGATCAATAAAGGAACACTAAGTTCACTACTCAGAAGTCAAAAGAAGATTGATAACCAACATCTCTGCATACATTGAGCACATAATGCATTACATGTATAAGCATTTAACTGCATTTGTACTCGTATGCACAGATGTTTAATTTTTATAGATATTCTAAAGAAAAATAAGAGTGGCTGAGCTTAAGGATCGAGGAGCCCAATCATGAAAAATCATTACTTTGAAAAGGACATGTTACCCGATATATGATGTTTTGGTATGATGTTTTTATATGAAATTTTTGAAAAGAAAGAAGTGATTTTCAAAGTTTCTTACCTAGTATAATATTTCCATGATGAGTAAGTCCTCCGAGCCATCAATAAGTCTTCCGAGCATGATGATTAAATGCTTCGGGTCATCTGTGAGTCTTCTGAGCAAGATGATAAGTTCTTTGGGCCATCTGTAAGACCTCTGACCATGATGTTGTCATATGATATTTTTGAAAATGAGAAAGTGATTTTCAAAGTTTCTTATTTGATTTGAAGTTTCTTACTTGATTTTCAGAAAATGAATTTTTTGAAAAGTAAGAAAGAGAGTTTCAAAGTTTCTTACATAGTAGAATATTTCCAAAATGAGTAAGTCCTCCGGGAAATCAGTAAGCCATATGAAC